GAGTCCGTCGATGAAGCGTCTCGGGGCGGGAGGGCGTGGAGAAAACATACCCCCATCTCCTCGATGTCGTCTCTGATGATGGATGCTCGCATGCTTGCGGCGGATACCACGTGGCAGCTGATCGAAGGATGAGGAAGAGGCACCGTGCATGGAACTAATACTCCGTTCTGGTCACGAATGTGAACAGTGCGATTGAAGAAGTTCACCGGGTGATCCTCGCTTCGCAGCCAGACTACTGGCGGCTCTCCACCCAGACTATTGAGAGACACTCCTACCAACCTAGCCTAGTGTGGAACAAACGGTCCCATCCCAATGCCGCTTGAAGACTCTGATTGAACAGCCAGCCTTCATCAACACCAGGTACGTGCCTCGTCACACTGCCCTCATCTCGTTCTCCATCCCCACAGCCCTTCTCCTTCCAAGGACCTCCGCTGCTACTCCACCACTTAGCTATGGTCCGAGCAGCTTGGCTATGGCTGCCCAGTCCCCCCCTCCCTTGCTGCCACCACTCAGCTTCCTCCTCTGGCTCTGCGAGTTGAGTGAGCGGTCGAGCAGCGCTGTTGCACACTGGATGGCAGAATGTGTTGGAGATTGCGCCCTCCAGCCTTTTGTGCTGGCTGGAGAGGCCGAGCAGCTTCTGGCCGGGCTGCGCCCTGAGGCCCTTCTGGAAGCTGCACCCAGGCCCAGCGGGTACCTCTGCAAAGATGCTACACGCTCTGCAACTACCAGGGCCCCCTTTTTGCTCACATTGGCCTTTTCCGAGGCCCCACTGTATTTTGGAAGACCTGACTTCACTTAGGGCGGGCGGGGGCCTTTTTGTGGCTGACCGAGGTGCTTAATCCTCGCAGCTATCATCACTGATCTCATCCTATGGTCTGTGAGCCCTCTGTTGTCATGCACATTCCAACTCCCGAGTCTTCTCCCCTCTCTATACTCTCATTTTTTTTTGATACTCTGTACTTCCCCTTTTTGTTTCTTCACTCTATTTTCCCTCTCTTCGTATCCCTCTCCTTGACTCTGCCTCTTTATACAGCACGCAAGCGTGCTGTTATTGCACACGCGGGTGTAGGCAGGTCACAATCAACTACATCAAGCCTTGTACCTGATAGTCAGAGTGAGGGGGAGCTGAACAAGGAAAAGGCAAAAAGAATGGTGTCAGTGTGCTTCGTGCTGTCTGCTGTCATATTAATTTGGATCATAAAGTGCGCTCCATCAGTTGATGGGTATGTACTATGTGGCAATATACAATGGTCCCCTGTGATGCCCGTTCATCTTTCGTCCTGGTCTGCAGCAGACATCGCATTTGTTGGAGTGTTTCTTCGGCATGGTTACTGCCAGTTGTCCTTGCAACTTTTGTGCTAAACTTTCTGACCTAGGTCTTCCATGTCATCCTCCATCTCATCTGTTCTGTGTGTGTGCTTTGCGGACAGACTCGACTCCAGAGTGTTCAGTTATCCTTGCCTATGGTGTGGTCTTTGATCCACACTCCTCTCTCTCTCTCTCTCTCTCTCTCTCTCTCTTTCTCTCTCTCTCTCTCTCCCCCTGTGAAAGAGGCGAGCCCAATTAAAAATTTGTGCATACAGCTTGTGTCCATGCATCTTCCCTACTGCCTTCAAAAAGAAAAGGAAAGGAGAGAGATCTAATTATCAGAGTTCAAAATTCAGCACAGAAACATCCTCTTGAAGTCTCAGACAATCCCAAACAGGTCTGCGGGGTTCCATATCGGTGAAAATTGTTCAGACCTGGAGAATATGATCGACATGTCTGGAGTGGCAAATTCGTTATTGGTGGGAACACTGGGAAGTGTATTTGAAGCCGGAAAACCGGTTCTCCCACACACAGCAACAATGGCCAGCAACTGCACACCAGCGGCAACTGGCATTGTGCAGGAGCGATGTGGGCAGGCAAGTGTGTGGTCCAGGGGGCTTGCCCCTGTCATCCGCAATTAAAGCAGGGCTTTGCGTGGCACAATCAGCAGCCCAGGGAATGTTGGGCCCAGCTCCTGACAGCTGCTTCGAGGATAAAGCTTGCCGAGGCAGGGCTACGGCTGCTACATGGCGATGGTGATCGGCTAGGTTCAGCTGTTTAGCTGCATTTTGTTCCCCGGGGTTTCCCAGGGCAATCAAAGCTGCTGGTAACTACTATACATGTCGTTGTGCCATTTGGGGATGTTGGACCCGTTTTCCAGCAGGTGATGCTCCCCACCAACAGTCTTGAGCCACCAACCACGGTGCTACAGGGGGCTGCTCTTATCATCCCCGGCAGCACCTCGGGTAGCGCTTCAAAAAAAAGAAAGGTCCAGCCTGTGGCTTGGTTGGTAAACATATCTTGTCTTGGTTAGTAAACATTTCTTGTCTTGGTTAGTAAACATTCCGTAGTTGCTAGGATGGGGATGAAGGAGCATAGGAACACGTCTTTAGGTCGTAATTTTTGGATGAAGTTCAAAAGGAAAAAAAGGTCCCGCCCATGTCTTGGATACAAAACATTTCATAGGGGGCTGAAGGAGCATAGGAACACGTCTATGGGAATAAAATTTCGGCCAAACTCCAAATTCTGGGTTCAAAAGTTCCTGTACTGGCACTTGCAATGTGCCTGAGAAGCTCTTAGGCCTAGAGGCCAGAGGTCCAGGGTCAAAACGCTGTGTGCGGGCCCCGGAAAGTCAACTCAGGCCCTAGGAAATTCAAAAGTCAGGACCTACCGGTCTGCGGAAGTCAAAGAGTCAAAGAGTCAAAGAGTCAAAGATTTCTTAGGAGTCGGCCGTCACCACAGATGACACACAATCCAAAGGCCCAGCTCCGGTTCCAGAAGCTTCAAAGGCTTGCTGAGTCGAGACACACAGTGGCAGTGACAAAATCTTGATGGTACAGGTTGAGAAATCTTAGCCATCGGAGGATACTGGTCTGCGGAAGTCAAAGAGTCAAAGAGTCAAAGATTTCTTAGGAGTCGGCCGTCACCACAGATGACACACAATCCAAAGGCCCAGCTCCGGTTCCAGAAGCTTCAAAGGCTTGCTGAGTCGAGACACACAGTGGCAGTGACAAAATCTTGATGGTACAGGTTGAGAAATCTTAGCCATCGGAGGACACAGCCTGAGGCAGGCAGGCCAGACCGTGTGAAGAGTACAAAATCTGGGTGGTCTGGAGAGAGGGAGTGAGAGAGCCATAGCTAGGAGTAGAAGGTGCTCATGCACCATAGCCAAGAGTAGCGGGAGTGAGTGAGAAGATATGGATATGGAGTAGTCCAAGGGTGCAGTGAAATGGAAACTTACCTCGAAAGCGTTAACCTGGAGCCTGGAGAGTGTTCGGCCATAGAGGCTGTAATAAGAGGAGCCTGTGGTTGCATGTGTTCATCATTCTCTGTCCAAGATCTAGAGGCTACAGAGGATCCCAGTGGTTGCACGTGCTTGTCATTCTTCATCCAAGAGAGGTGATGTGGTATAAGTCTGGTGCTGTGATGGATATTGGAAGGAGGTAACTGTTGAAGGAGGATTGGCAAGGGGGGGAAGAGGCAGCCTACCTGAAGTTGGAGAGTTAGGAGCAACTTGAACATTGTACTTTTTGTATTTTTTGAGACATTTTCAGGCCCTTGCACATCTTCTACACAAAGTCTCAACAGTCATTGCTATCTCACTTTTTTGTCCTTATCATCTGAGCGTCGTTTATCATTTTATTGTGAGCTTTCCGAATGTGGTTTCGTTACAGAGAGATTCAACTCCAGTGCTGGGGCTGTATATCCCTTTCCCTTTCCCCTGTCTCTCCTTGTCCTGCTCCAAAGTCAAACCTGTGTGACTGAGACCATTGAGACCTGGGATGTGAGATCCTCACAGCAGCCCCACTCAGAGCTCTCCCTAGGTCTAGTGTGCACAAGCATGAATTCTGTTTTCTTCTTACTTTATTGATACAGATTCTGGCATTGGTCTCCTCTACCAATCCTTTGTTCCGCTGCTTTTCCTCTGCAGCATTAACAATGCAAATGCACAGCTACATGCAATGGTGATTCTGTTTTCACCCACATATTCCCCCCAACCCACATCCCCAAAACATTAAGAGTGTTTGTGAGACCTCTTCTCTCCATGGCAGATGTGACAACCTCCAAGCACTCAATGTCTCCTTGGCCCTCTGATCGTTACTGACTCTCTGCCAGATTTCTATTCCCAACACTTCCTCTGTAACTCTAGAGGAATCATCGGCAGAGGCACCCTGATCTTCTGGGACTGTTTTAGCAGATTGGAAAGTGTGATGCTTCAGGAATGGCAAGTGGATGAGATAATATGATGCCCAGGGCATCTGTCAGCCTCACTGGCCGTGGTGCTGCCTTGTTGTCTGAGGAAGGGGTTGAAGTCAGGGATACAGTGGTGACTGCTGTCTCTTTGACTTGGGGAACACAACAAATGTTTATGCATGAATCAAGCACGACTTTGACAATTGGCATTCATACTGTATGACAATGACAAACGGAGAAAGATGAAAAATCTGTGTGTGTGTGTGTGTGTGTGTGTGTGTGTGTGTGTGTGTGTGTGTGTGTGTGAGAGAGAGAGAGAGAGAGAGAGAGAGAGAGAGAGAGAGAGAGAGAGAGAGCAGTCATGAGTTGATGAAGCTGAGAGTATGACTGATGTCAATGCTTGACGGAGTTGATAAAGACAGGAATTTGTGTGTGAGGATATTTGACTTGTATGTGGGACGCCATGATGCATTTAACCAGTACGTGTGATGGGAGCAAATCATTGATGATGACAGTGTGTGTTACCGTGCTGCAATGATATTGGAGTTTCTGAGGCAATGAGAAGCTGACATCAATATAGTGAGCAAAATGTCTGTGAGAGGGAATCCGTGATGATATGAATGCACGTGACAATCAATCTCAGGTTTACGAGTGGAGTGACGCAGAATGTGTGGATGTCTGTCCTTAAAGTTTGATGAGAATGCATGCAACAATCCAATTGTGTCGAAAGCTACCGGTAGGGGTGTGACAGAGTCTCTTGGGAGGTTCTGATAGAGTCCGTGCTGTCTTCACATGTGTGATCTGTTACAGGCTGAAGAAGCATAGGTTCTGATAGAGTCCGTGCTGTCTTCACATGTGTGATCTGTTACAGGCTGAAGAAGCATGTAAGAGACCCAAACAGTAACCCTCTCTTGATTTTTCCTGAGGGTACATGCGTCAACAATGACTACAGTGTCATGTTCAAGAAGGTTCGTTTGCCCGGTTGCTCTATGGGACTTTGCCCTTGTCTTCTGTTTTCCTGATTGTTTTCTGAAAGTTTCCTTTTTCGGTTCTCAAGTTTTGTTGGCTATTGGCATGTCAATTTTTTTCATTTTTTTTTTTTTTTTTTTTTTTTTTTTTTTTTTTTTTTTTTTTTTTTTTTTTTTTACACAACACAGCCCTGTCCTCTGGGACATCCGTTAAAATTGGAACGTTACAGAGAAGATTAGCATGGCCCCTGTGCAAGGAGGACACACATATGTTGAGGAATGGTCCAAATTTTTATTAAAAAAAAAACACAACAGAAAGCCCCTTCTATTCTGGGGGGCATCAGTCTGGTTGCTTAGAATGGTCCAAATTTT